ATCAATCATATCGTGATCATTGATAAACAATTGCACAAGGGTCGGAATCGAGATTATTAAAAATGCATGATATATTAAAAATATTTGCCAACTGTGGCGGCATCAAAAAAATGAACCTTTTCCCTAAAAAAAAACATCAAATTTATTCTTCGACTGATGAAAACCTCAGTACAATTGTCGAATCCGTGAAAAATACAAATGTGTAATTGTGGTTTGTAATCAAGTAAGAGGGCATACATGTTTTATTTTCTGGCTCGAAACATACATGATACGAATTTACCCATCGCCTAAAGTTGATTACATTACATTTGGCTGCTCAAACGGAGAGAGGTGTTATACGTTTATTTAAGGAATACAAATATCGGTGCATTGAAATTAAAAATGGTTTTTATTGTAGGTAATTGTGACAAGTAATAGTTTTATATTTCATACAAATTTAATCAATGCTAAATGTGAGCTTGTCTTTGTGTATATAAATCAGAGGTGTGCAACTTACGAGTACAGCACGGCCCGCAGTACTTATTTACGTGGCCCGCTACAGACTTCATACTTCGTAACCTATTAATATAAGAACTTTTTCTGAATTGTAACGGCGTCATTGGCATTTTTGACTGCAGTATAGGTCTATAGACTTTTCCACGAGCATCGACTTCCTCATTTACTTTGCGACATTGGTCAATCAGCAAGATCCAAAAAGTGACATAACAATGCCCCCTTTTCCTTACCTCGTTTCCGGGTTTTTGAACTATATTCATTAGTTTTCAGTTGTGTTTCGAAAATTTAAATATAAATCAGATAATTCAACAATCACGTTGTCTTCTTAGAAGATTTAATTTTATTGCAACAATAAAAAATTAGTGTAAAAATAGCTGTAATAGTCTAGGCTAAAATTGTTTACCAGTACGTTTAAAAAACAGATTATTGTATCCAAGGGTGGTCCAAGGTTGTCGGCCTCACGGGCCAAACTATTATTCTTGTATTGTTCGCGGGCCACAATAGTACCAAGAATAAGTAAATAGTGCAATACAAATCAAATACTTTTTGTCCGAACACATTGACCATTATTTGTCATTCATCAAGCTAAAACATGCAAAAACAATAACAAAACTCACTAAGACGTGCAAAATTTTTTACTATATCCACATTTAGTGTAAGATTTCAAACTTTCCACAACGGATAAAATGACATAAAGAACAAATTTTTTTAGATTGTCACCGACATAACGTACCGACATATAAGGCAAGCATTGCGGTATTTTCTTTCCCATATCCAGTCAAAGTCATCTGAATTGGCTTGCTTATTTTAAGCTGGCCTGGGTTTGGACCACCCTGTTGTATGCAATGAATGAATGAATCATAATGATGGTTTGAAACATATAACCCATATGACAGACGTCAACTCGCAAAACCACTCTTTAAATAAACCCGAAAATTTTGCAGTGGTTAAGTATAGGAAGAATTTTCCGGGGGTCAAAGGTCGGGGAAAACTCCATAAGACTACATCACACTGCGATTTACTTCCGTCTACAGCAGGGTCGTCCAACCTTCTTGGTCGAAGGGCCACATGTAGTTTACTAATGGGCCACTTAACATGATAGTTATGCGCTAGTTTTTCTACACTGACTACAGGTTAATGAAAAAACAATACCCTCATACCAAACTTTCACAATTATTAGAGCAATAAAACTGTTGTTTTCCAACCATTGTTGGGGCGCCATCAGTGGTGATTCCCGAAAGTTTTGCCGAAGACAAGCCAAGCCGCTTCAACATTTTCACCACTGCTTCCAAAATATCAATGCCTCTATGCGTACCGGCACTATTAATAGGGATAATGGCTGTGAACTATTCGGTAATTTCAAAATCACCACGCACTTTCGTACCATAGAAGATCGCCGACTGATCAGTAACCTTGATGTCAGTGCTTTCATCAAGTGCCAAGGAATACGATGAAAATTTTCCCGCTTTTGCAATTGAAGATTCCGCAATGGAGTTCCCAAGCTCTCAACACAACAAGTTAAAGTCCGTCTTGACAGGGTATTTTTGCAAACACCTTTTTTATTTCCGGACGTAAAACATTGGAAACCCAAATACAATAAATAATATACGTTCTTCAACAAATTCTCAATTTGAGAATGGCTTCGATTGTTTTGCGATAACGTCATATAATAATAGACCAAGTGTGTAAGCTACTATGTCACCTTTTTGTATCGATATCTCCTCCTAGTTGGTTGATTCAAAATGGGACTCATGCCTCGTTTAAAAGGGCTGACAGAGCGCAGTTAAGGAATCAAACAAATCGTCTTTGTATACTTCATCACTCAAAAAAATAATTTTGCTCAATTTTTTTTTATTCGATTCTACAGCGCAGGCCACTCGAAATGCTTCCGCGGGCCACAAATGGCCCACGGGCCACGGGTTAGACGACCCTGGTCTACAGTATTGTGACGACCCCCATTGTTGCAGCATATTGTACATTGTATGAAAACCGCTTTGTTCTGGCAGAGGTACGTGATCTTACTTTATGGTTGTAGGTTATTATACGAAAAAGCTTAACAGAGTTCAAATGTCTACCAGTAAGAAAAGGAAGTTGATTATCACATTAATCACCTACCCAATGAATATACTGATTGTACGTGCCCTTCCATTAAATAAATTATTCATAAAAAATTATGAGTTATTTGATGGCCTGGCCTACGGTATCACTATACTTGTTGTTTGTGGCCCATTGCGCTAAACAGTTGCATGCCCCTGATATAAACGATTATAATGTCTGATATCAGCGAGTGGCAAATGACTTTCAAAATTATTTTCACGATTTCTATCGCTTTATTTCTAAACGCTGGCACATAGAAACAATTTTTAGGATATGGGTTAACATTTCGCAACTTATAATCAAATTAATTTGGAAACCACTTTTATAATCAAATGCGGGCATATAAGATATTGTTTATAGACATAAAATAAAATACGAAATGTATTAATATTTTGAGTCACATCAAAAAATGAGATATACATGCATATATCATTTGTTTATTGTCTGTAATCATGTCATATTTCGTAACTGACAATTCATGGTAATTTTGTTCTCGTTATATTTCATGTACATTCGTGTTTGTGCCATAATTCATATTTGAAATACCGTATATGGTAGCCTTATGTAGGACATCGAAATTACCTCCGTCTTTCTAAAGCAATTTTTGTGCGCAAACGACATTTTTGTGGAAAAATTCACTTCACAAAAACAATGCGTGGAACAGTTAGCTGAATTATCAATCATTCAGTGAGTAAAAGACTGGATATTTCATGCAGAAGACCAAAACAAAATAGCTTGGCAAATCAGATGACCCAAACCTCTCCACTTTCCCATAGCATTTATAATCAATAGATAAAAAAGTTGTGATATCATTGTTAACTCGGAGCAACCTGGTCAAAATTGAAATTAAAAAACAGACAAGGTCTGAAGACAACCAGCCAGGTTCCAGAGGTCAAAGGTTGCTTTGAATGGTAATTTATGAATTGCTTACAGAAGACTAAAACTTAAAATTTGTCACAAGATTTGTTATGAAAAGGCAAGCTCAATTTATGTAACATAGACCTCATCTGATTCATTAGGATTTACTAAATTACAAGTTTGCGGCAGCAGAACTACTGTATATTATGTCAGAAGATTTATAGTTAATAGTGCTTTGGCAACTGAAATAAATGTAATGAGCTGTGACTCAAGTTTATACAAGTGGACATATCATATTTGATCAAGTCAAAATTAAATTTGGTCATGGAACAAAAAAAATTTTCTTTTTTAATATTGAACACTAAAACCAAACAGCAATTTTTGAAGATGATACGATAACATGAGAAATATAAATTCACATGCATGGGCGTGATGACCCATTAGTAAGACCAATGAACTTGACTGCGTTCGCATTACAGATTGGACAAGTTCAAATCACTCAACACAAGGTATAATAAAATGGAAGGCCAATGCCGAACTGCAATGATTTCAGTTTTTCAGAAAATAGTAAATCCTTCAGTGAACACTTGTACAGGGCTTGGTTTAGAGTGAAAAACATGAATAAGAGTCATATAGAATATTTTTACAAAAACTATATTTGGTAAGTACTCAAGAAAAAAAAAACTTCCTTTAGGTGCAATATAGGGCAATTATAGGTATTTCACATAATCACAGGACAAGACCCAACAGAATTAAATTGCTCATAGGAATTGGGTATTATGTATTTCAAACAAATATTCAACTAAAAGAGTAGGCCTGAAAGCTATTATTCGAAAAGGTAAATTTAAAATTATAGAGGTTTTATATAAATTTCACCATGTAATCAAATTCTGGGTTATGAAGGTGTAAAACTATAACATATTAAAAAATCCAATTCAAAATTTCTTCCAACTCTTTCAAAAGCGATAATTATGTGATTATTATTGTGTTATACCTCTGTACTGCCCAAGGATGATTTTAAAGCTTGTAGTTGATCTGATGACAGGTTGCAGTTTCCAAAGCCCAACTCTTCAACACAGGATTGATTGGAAAGTATTTGTCCAACTGATGATAAACCTTCAACTCCCATGTTTGTGTTTCCATTCAGGCCAAACTTCATGATCTATAAAGAGACAAAAATAATTGATAAACCAAGAAATGTATAAATGGTTCTTTACAGAGTGAGTTCCGGTGCACATACAACAGGAGCGCTAAAAATTCTGTTCCATGGTGTTTTGCACATACTGTATAGTCAGTAAGTATTAGTCAAATAAGAAACCGCAGATTTCAGGTTTAAAACCAGGTCCACCACAACACTCCGTGTGACAATTTAGTAAATACTTTCAAACCAAAAAGATTCTGATATATAATTTATCATATAATTAATATATGGTGGAATTCTACTATATAGTAGTACCGGTAACTCCAAATATGAGCTGCTTGCCTAAAGCCTTATTTATAGTAAAGACATGAAAACAAATTTTAAAGAATTTAAATATCAGAAATTGTACCTTCACATTAGATCCTTTCAATTCAGATGCCATGGTTTGAAGTGAGGCTGACTTGAGATCACATCTATTAAAATTTATTGTTAGTGATGTGCAGTAGGAAGCTACTGACCCAATGACATGAACATCACTGATTGAGAGAGGATGCCAACCCATGTCAATTTTGTCAAGAGATGATTTGACAATGTCACTCATTCCATTCTTGGCTTCGTTCAATGTAGTGAAAAGTTTCAAAAGATCTGATTTGTTTGATATTTGTTTGAGTTGTGATTGCAGACTTTTCTTGAAAATATCTCGTTTTTCTTCAAGATCCTGAATTTCTGTGAAAATATAAGAATATATGTATACTGATGATACTTGTGTCTGAATGATAAGTTACCATTCAGTAAGGATTGACTTGCAAATAACATTAGCGCCCATCTCTTTTAAATTAGTTATTGGAAAATTAAATCTAGTCAGCCATAGCCAATCAATGTATTGGGCACCCCATTGTTCTAATGTGTCTGTTACATTGTTTAGACTAGTGTTTGTTATTGCATTTCAGATTTCCCCAAGCTTAAAACTTTAGTTCAAATCCAGTGTAAAATGTGTAATAATAATGATTGATGTGTATTAATGATGCTCGGCTACATTTTGCTTTGCAATAAAACACCCTAGTACAGACATGGGCAAAGTACGACCGTGGGCCAAATCCGCCCCATTGAGTAATTCAATATGGCCAGCATGATGGTGCCACAACCTAGCTAAAACTAAATTTTGATGTTTTAGTTAAAATTAGCTCACGAAATTTGTTGAGATTGCGATTAAAATTAGTCTTGGCACGAGGCTTATTGTTTTCCATTTTTGCTTTTGTTACACTGTAAATATTTCTCATGAAATGTAACTTTTACATCACACTTACATGGCCCGCAGGTCTAAGTGGGCACAATTTTTGGCCCCTGGTCGAAAAATCTTGCCCATCCTTGCCCTAGTAGCATCTCAACCTTTGCCCCTATCACCAAGAATTACAGCATTGATGAATCAATTTTTTATATGAACTTATTCATGGATTTGGCTCCGAACAATGCCCTGTAACAGTGTGCACTGATAAGCAAGGCATAGAGTTACTGTTTCTTAAAATTACAGGAATATTCCTAGGTCAGCATTGTCTAACAAATTTATTACACCCTAGGGCCTAGGTGAAGAGACAAGTATGCGATGTGAACCCGAGATGAGTAACCTACAATGCCAATACAGTTATTAGGTTGAACACTTTAACTGCTAGGCCATTGCACTGATTAATTGATAATGCGAGAAACGCCTAACAAATTTCAGATTCGAATCAAGATAAAAAATGGCTCTAGCTTGAATTTGAATCAACAATAAACAACACATTACCTTCAAGTAAAATTCCAGCTGCTTCATAAACTGTTGGATTCAATAAAAATCCACAGATCATTTTTTTGACGAAAACAAAGTGACCGGTATGAAGATGTATATCCACGAACTCCTTAAAAGATTTTAAATCCAGTCCAAGAATATAGAAAGATGTGAGCATTTCTTGAATACTTTGATGTTGAAAGTAAAGAAGATGGATTCCTTGAAAGAGTTTACGATACATTCCTCCAGGAGCCAGAATTGCTAAATCGGTTGCCTCTTCCGGTTTTAGATGAACTCGACGAAAATCTGCTTCTGTAAATAGAACTCGACGTTCTACTGTCCCAATGTATGATAGTTCTTTTAATTTGTCCAAAACTTCAAAAATATTCTCTTGGTGAGTGTGGGGGGATCGTAAGATACTTTGCATGACCACAATCATAATACCACTCATGGTGTTTGGTTTGAAGTCAGATTTGAATTTTAATGCTATCAGCGTGTAAACCAGCATCACAGGGGTAGTGCACAGTAAGAAGAGTAATGGAGCTTTGATTTTGAGAAATTCTATTATTTTCTCGGCTTCTTCATTTCCTTCATATCCAGAAATTATTTCCTTGATGGAGTCCATTGTTAATCCAGCAAGTGCAATGACCTTGTCTGGTCGAACTTCTCCCCAATAATTTCTGATGGAATGTTCACGACTGGACGATATAATGCGACAGCCAGGAAATAATTTTTCAGAGAGAAAATTCCACATTATTACCTCAGGATATGCAGGCTCATCTAGACTGATGAGTTCATAAACTCCATCAACTGTATATTGAAGAGTATCCAAGGAGTCGAGCATAAACAAAACTTCCTCTGGGTGAGTTTTTGCAATGTCTATTGCTTGAACTCTTTCTTCTTTTGTGAGATTGCTGAAAATTAGTTCTTCTGCTGTTACTTTACTGTCGTTCATAAATTGTTTTCATTCTACATATGGAACCATCTTGATATTCCCCTGAAAATATTTTCCCTGTATGACATCTCTTGAGGTTGCTTTCATGAGTGTGGTCTTTCCTGAACCAGGGGGCCCCACGAAACAGACATGACCATGTTTAAAGTTGTTAAACAATTCATCAAGTTGTGTCTCTTTTCTGATCCCTATTTCTCTTTCTCGTTGTAAATACTTTTGTTGATTAGGTGACTCTGGTACATAATCGTGTTCAGGAATTCTTCCACCTCTATAAAAATCAATTTCTTCCAATTGAGGAGTTACGTCCACATTTAGTTTTCTCTTGAAAACTCCATGAGGTTCGGCAAAGTCATAGAAGTCAGTGCACTTTTCAGTGTTATCATTGACTTTTGCTATTACTTTTTGATAAGACATATTTGCTTTACAATGTCATACACTTTAAACATCCAGCGTATTGACCATCTGGTAAAGCTTCATAAAAAAAGATCCATCCGATGTAATATTCAATAATACTTTTCGACAATAACTTCAAAGTTCTAGGATATAAACTTTAACTGAAGCTGCTACAAATCTAACAAGAAAACATTTGTCATCCAAGTGCGATGAAGCCTAACATAGATGCCATTAAATCTGCTATATAATGTACACTTTTGTAAACAGTCGCTATTCATAATAACTTTGAACCATTCACATAATTGTTCCTAAATTAATATTGTTGTTTTCACGATTTCAAGTAATACATTCAATGATGTTTCATGCGACACCCATTCCACGCCTTCTGTTTTGAACAGAGCCGCCAAAAAGTACTTGCGGACCCCTGCTCTATGTGTGAGGAAATACTGTTTTTTTGGCAAAAATATTTTCACACCGACAGAAATTACTTTATATTGAGTGTTTTTAGGACAGGAATGCAGAAAGGAGTACCGGTATGTATTAGTTTCGATCATGAGGATAGTGCACTGAAAAATTTTTTTTTTTTCTCAAATTTTCTGCAAGGATAAAACTCTTTAATGAGAAATTTGTTTATTTTAAAGTGAGTACCTAATGAAATCTGACATGTAGAGTTATGAAAAACTTCTCGTACTCGTCATGGTACATAGTCATGATTCCGCTGCTAAAATTAGGTGACAAATGCAAGTTTAAACTACCCATCAGATATTGTTGGCTATATTAGACCCCAAACATTCAAAAACAAAACAAAACTGGTATTTCAGGGTATTAATAAAATGCCATATGTTACCGATTGCTTCTACACTGAGAGTTTTAATTTTATGTAAGACCAGTCGTAAGTCTCCATATAATCCCGCCACCCCCCAAATAATTTTTATTGCCATGTATTCGAACCCGGTATTTTTCCGATGAATATCAAATTACAAAAACTAAATTAAAAAACTATTATAAATAATTATAAAGACTAAATCTATGCCAAATAAAAGTAACATAATCTCTTTCCACAAAATATCAAGTATATTTATGAGCTTTCGTTAGATCATAGTCTAACTTCTTCAGATAAAACAAGATATGGCTGCAAATTATAAAGATCAGTAATTAGTTAAAAATTGTAAGATTAAAATCACAGAAATACATTATACATTGGTTGGTTGGTTTATCTTTATAATACTATCTCAGTCACGCATCCTTGTGGCAACATCCACATACGGATCCGGAATAGAAAGTAAACAAGGAGAAAGGGCCTGCAGTTCAATACACAAAACCCTAGTACACCCCATAAATCTATGCTCTCGATATTTGTTCTGATTCTCTAGACCTTCTCGGATTCAAAAATTTCACTTGACCTATTAACATTACAAATTGCAATATTAAACTTAAATTCAATTGCTGATTCAGAAATACAAATTTTATTTCTATATACAGTATTCTTATCCATTTTCCATCGCTGATGCTATATCTGAATGATTACTTTTATAAAGCAAGGGCCAAGATCCTCTGTGGCCTGACCTGTCTTGCAACCTGACCAACACTAATAATGATCAATCAATTCTTGTTGAATTATTTTGCATTCTGTTGCTTCAAAAGTGTTGACTTTGTTTGTGGTAATAAAATCTCCCGAAATATGACTAGTTTATGTACTATTATTTTGAATATATATTGAAACACAAGAATATTTAAACTCTAATGACATAAAAAGTAGTTTCAGATTTCGGCGCTCCAGAAATATGTGTACCAATACAGAGGAAGCTAATTTTGTTCGCCTACTCTACATCATGTTGTGTATAGGTGGGCAGTTCTATTGCAGGCTATTGCAAGTGACACTACAGGACAATTCCGGAAATTTTACATTTTTTCCCAAATTTTTTCTCCACCATCAAGTTTGTGCATTTGAAAAGTGGCTAACTAATCCTATACCCGACATGGACTGGTAACCAGGTAAGAATCCGTGGTTCTATGTATAATTAAGCCATCTAATTGGCTTTCTTCTTCCCGGGATAAATATGTAAATCCTATTTCTAATGGAGGTGGCAGCCAGTGTTTCAAAAACAGGTATTATCACATTAATGTCAATCTTTTAGCATAAATACTGAGACATCACGTGTTTCAAGTTTTTTTTTGCTCAGAACATGGCTCTGTGCAAGCAAGTAGTGAGCATAATAAAATGCCGACTGTAACCACAGAACTCACTTACGCTTCATTCAGACAAAAAAGGAAAGTATAACACAAGTATCTTTTGTACAATGGTCCCGTCCAAAACACTCCCACCAATGCTGAAAATAAGAAAATTAGTAATTTTCCAGTTAGAGTTAGGGTTGCAGATTGCGCTGGAAATTCAAATTTCAAATATTTTATGATCCTAACCCCAACTGGATAATTAGTAAGTTGTTATTTCAAAATGTGGCGGGGGTTGTTTCTCTGAAATCTCACATTTTCGCATTAGTGGCGGGGACTTTGTACAAAAGATCCTTATACGTATCAGTTTAATATCATTTTCAAAGTTTTATAACAGTTGGAAATTCATAATAATATGCGACCACGATCTTCATTTAAACGGCCCCTCCCTCTTGTCTAAATGAATTTCTTGATTTGAAAAATTAGTACCGAAAACGAAGAAATATGAAAAAATAGCAGATACATGAAAATCAACATGTTATTCACAACCCAGACTGAAATTTAGGTGAATCAAACCCAAAATACTCTCGTATAAAGGTGTGTCTACTCAAAATATGTTTGACTTCTGCCGAATGTGGGATATTGATGAAGCACGCAAAATGCATTTTTCACTCACGATCAGTGTTTTTTAAGTTACCTCATTCATGCATGTTTGGGGCAAAGTAACCGATTGTTTTCGCATTCCTTTAAGGTTGACGCGTTTCTGAAATTAGATGGCTTAAGCATGTTAATATACCGTAAAGTAAAAATGATTGTATCAGCGGAATTCTAACATAAAGTTGGGAAAATTAACCAATGGTTTACAATGATCAATGCACTTTAGAGAAATATAAATCAGATAGAGTTGCTGACAAATATTTTACATAATCCACATGGGCATAAAATAATATGGCAGAACACTGCCTTTCAACCACTAATAATGATATATCAATTTTTCTCCACTGATGCATAAATCAATTTGGATATTCAAAAACTACAAAAGTAAATCAAACTAAATTAGGTGTTTTTTAATGGTTTTTTTTTCAAATTATTCATTAGCTATATATGCTGCTTAAAAGACGAGCTCATTCAACTTTTGATAACTTTGAAAAATATATCAAATTTTTTAAATTTGTATGAATCAATAACTGTGTACATTATGAGTACATTATCCTCCTGCATAAATATACAATAATTCATGTGCGATGTTATTGAACTAGCTATAAAATGTTTTTCTGCCTGGTGTAATACATGTAGTATCACAAGTACTTCTTCTAATGGAGGTGACACCAAATCCAGTGTTTCGAAAACAGCGATTATCATATTAATGTCAAACTTTTAGCATAAATACTGAGACAATAGGTGTTTCAAGTTTTTTTTTGCTCAGAACATGGCCCTAGACTAAAAAGTATTGGATTTTCAATATTGGAATATAGAACAACCCTTTCCTCATGAGGCATTCCACATTTCGCTTCAACCTAATATAGAGAAAGTCCAATACAGGGTTATTAATGCACTGTTGAATATTTTATATTATCATTCAGAAGGCCAGATATAAGCAGATATGGGTATACAAGTTGGATTGTAGATGGGTGTTGTACACCACAATATTTTATCTAGTAATTCTTTTACATCTATTGGTCTGATGAAGCTAACCCACTTTTTCTCATAGATCGTTCCACATTTTCCCATAGAGCAAGGGCCTTATTTGTGGACTATTTGGACTAGCTTATTAAAATTGCCCTCTGTAACCACAGAATGACAAATGAATCCGATATATTTTGCGCCAGCCAAAATGAATTAAGGAAAGTATAAGACATGGATCTTTTCTACAAAACCCCGCCCAAAACACTCCCACCAATGCTCAAAATAAGAAAATTAGTAATCATCCTGTTAAAGTTAGGGATGCAGATTGTGTTGGAAATTCAAATTTTTAAATCATTCCTAGCCCTATACCCAACTGGATAATTAGAAAGTTGTTACTTCAAAACATGGCAGGGGTGTTTTCCTAAATCTCACATTTTTGCATTAGTGGGGGGACTTTGTACAAAATATCCTAATACATAACAGTCTAATATTAATTTCCCAGTTTTATAACAGATCGAAATTCATAAGGATATGCGACCACAATCATCATTCAAACGGCCCTCCCTCTCGGCGAAATGTATTTCTCGAGTTGGAAAATTATTACCGATAATGAATAAATGTAGAAAATTATCCACTTCAATATTTTCATAAAATTGGCCACATAGGCAGTAAAATTTCAATCTATTTGAACTGGTCAAGTTCTAAACGAAGTCCATATTGTGGCCTTTTTCTTCAGTTACAGAATTAGAAGAAACATAGCAAAATTTCTTCGTTTTTGTACATGCTATGAGATGACGGTAATTTTGACAGGAATT